CAGTGATAATTAGATTTAAATAGAGAAGAATCCGACTGCCTGATGCAATAGTTCAAACTACAGGATTTTTTTTACCCGAACGACAATCTTAGAACGTTCTTCGTTCTGAGATTGTCACTTGTGTGTTACGGTCAGTGGCGGAGCTAGACTTTTTTTCAAGGGGTGGCCAAAGGGTGAGCAAGGCTTTATCAGAGGGGTCCATATACAAATGATGAACAAAAGGAAACAAATATTTTCTCACACACACTCAAATTAAAATGGTTTATTTAACTAAGATTTGCCATGACCAAACAAGACGTTAAATGGCACTATGGAACAGTGAACATGTAAATGTAAATTCAGAGCCCAGAATATCACCAAAAACAAATTCTCAAAAATAAATAAATAAACTGGTGCTTCTGGTGTGCAATAGGTTGTGCTGGGTGGGGGCAGTTCAGTGCCATTTCCTCCTGCTTCACTGTCCTCCCCAGAGTCTGACTCTGAATCTCTATCACCCTCATCTCTCTCTGGAACTTAATTGGAAATGCATAAACAGACACAATAAAAAAATGCAAAAAGCATCATGCTAACCTTTAGAATTAGGCTTATTGGATTTTAATACTTAATAACTCTCTGTACAGCTCTAACCCGCTGGTGATCCACTTGGGCCTGGAGTCTCCTGGCTGGATTCTTCAGGTTGGTCACTGCTGCAGAGTTCTGTCTGGTCCTGGTCACTGCTGCAGGGTTCTGTCTGGTCCTGGTCACTGCTGCAGGGTTCTGTCTGGTCCTGGTCACTGCTGCAGGGTTCTGTCTGGTCCTGGTTTTTGCCTCTTTAAGAAGAACTGGGAGATTTTCCCTTTTCTCTTCATTTTGGCTCTACACAAAATAAGACAGCCTGGTATTTAGACTCCATGACTGTTTGGCAGAGACACTATTTTAACTATTATTTAAACTATAGTTTTTAGTTTTCTGTAGCTAGCTAAAATACTAAATTCAAAAAAAACATTAATTAAAATTAATTAAAATAACTAGTGAGGTTATAATTCAAAGCTTTCATATGACATAGCCTACTTACATTTCAGTCATTATAAAACTTAATGGTTTTTCACATATTCTTACCACACATTTCAAGCAAGAGCTGGGAGATATAAAACATTACAGGGCAGCATGTCACTAAAACATATGTTAAAAGAATCTGTCTAAAACACGATCTACCAGCACTAACATGGCTAATATAATAAACGAGGCACTATGCAGCGGTACACAACCATTTTTCTTTTTAGAAATGTATGACAAGTGCCGCCTCTCATTAGGAAGGTAACAGCGGTTACCGCTGAGCGGTAAAATGTTAATACCTGCAAAACTCCTCGACGGTGTAACTCTAAAGCAGTTGATGTGTTTTGGATCAAGCAGGATTCTCCTCGTGCTTTCTGAGGGGAAACACGGGGGGAATCCCGAACAGCTGACACGGCGCAACCCGAAGTCCAGCAGACATCGGACACAACATGAATGTTTATTCAACAGTTCGTGCAAAGAAAATATAAATAACTAGGGGAGGAGTTGGAGCGAAATTTCTACCAGAAAACCCGGTAACTTTTCAGCAGTTCTTCGTTAACGTGACATAAATAGGTTATAATGATTGTCATTCTGTCAGTACTGACACTAGCCACACGCATTGCAGGTAGATTGTAGTAAGGAATTGATTAATGCCTCGTTTCAATATTAGTGAACTAGGCTTATTATTTTGAGTCCATTGTTGGACACAACGCGGTTCGATCGAACCGTTATAGCTAGGATTTCTGTCGGCTAATGTGTCTCTCAGGTTTTGATAATGAGCCGACAATCCGCGACATCAGGTGGTGCAGCGCGCGCTGGGCATTACACTAAGGAAATAAGGAAGGGAGGGTCAGTGGAGAACACCGGAGTTGAGCCTTTTTTCATTCAGTGTCATCAACAGTAAGAGATGACACGATATAGCCTTTAATTAAAATGAGGTCGATAGTTTTAACTTATAGTGCGATTAATTGACTTATCGTTTATCACGACAGGCCTAACGCTGTTGTAATAATCAATGCGACTAAAAATAAATGCATGGATGAGTTTCTCTAGATCTGGCTGAGACATTAGTCCTCTAATCCTGGAGATGTTCTTCAGGTGATAGAAGGCCGACTTTGTAATTGTCTTTATGTGCCTCACAAGGTTCAAGTCTGAGTCCATCACTACTCCCAGGTTTCAGGCCTGATCGCTAGTTTTTAGTTGTAATAACTGAAGCTGTGCATTGACTCTAGATCGTTCCTCTTTAGGTCCAAAAATAATGACTTCAGTTTTGATTTTGTTCAGCTGGAGAAAGTTTTGACACATCCACACATTTATCTGTTCTAAACATTTATTCAGTGATTGGATGGGTTCAGAGTCAACTGGTGACATCATAGTGTAGAGCTGTTATGGTAGCTAATATTATTTCCTGTTATAACCTGAGCTAGTGGGAGAATATAAATATTAAATAAGAGGGGTCCTAAGATTGAACCTTGGGGTACCCCACATGTGACCTTTGCCCTCTTTGATGAGAAGTTTCCAATTGAAACAAAGAATCCCTGTTCTTTAAGTAAGATTCAAACCAGTCGAGCACCGAACTGGAGAGTCCGACCCAACTTTCAAGTCGATTCAGTAATATATCATGGTCGACAGTGTCAAAAGCTGCACTGAGGTCCAACAGAACCAGCACTGTGGTTCTCCCACAGTCCGTATTTATATGGATATCATTGAATACTTTTACGAGGGCAGTCTCCGTGCTGTGGTGAGCACGAAAACCAGATTGAAAAGAGTCAAAGCAGTTGGTCATCATGAGGAAACTATTTAATTGTTTACACACAGTTTTTTCTATAACTTTGCTGATGAATGGGAGGTCAGAGGTCGGCCTGTAATTCTGCAATAGTGATTTGTCCAGGTTGTTCTTTTTTAACAGTGGTTTGATGACTGCTGTTTTCAAAGCCTGGGGGAAAACACCTGATGTAAGCGATGAGTTTACTATTTGGATCAGCTCAGTAGCAATAACAGGCAGGACTTTCTGAAAGAAATGTGTGGGTAGGACATTCAGACAGCAGGAGCTTGAACTTAATTGACTTATAATTTTTTCTAGGGTTGTATAATGAAGTAGTTGAAAATGGGTCATTTTTTCTGTATTTGTTTTGTTTGGATACAGCAATGCTTCTGGCTTTGAAGTTGATTTGCCAAAACCAAATCAAAAGTTTCACATTTATGAAACGGCTCAATTTATTCTGTAAGCAAGCTGATTTAAACACAAAGTTTATTGTTTTAAATATCCAAAATTGACATTTAAAGCATGCAGTGATTCCGTCATGACTTCAGCAAGTATATTTGGCAAAAAAAAAAAAAAAACTTTTCTAAGAAATTGGTGGTTTTTGTCTTTTTCTCAGTTTCTGCTCTGCTGACTCATTCATACATTTGTCATCTCATGTCACATACAGTGGTTCTCCATGATGGTATTACTGCAGGACTGACATTAAATTAGTTTCAGGTTAACACAATGAAATTGGTTACTTCATTGTGTAAACTTGTGGTTATATATATCAGAAATACTGAGGCAGGTTCAAATGTTTCTTCACGTTGAATCTGTAGTAGAGCATCCTCTACTGTGCAGAGCATATAGAGATATAATACTTCTTTTATGCTGCTTGGCTCAAAATGTTCCCTGACCTCAACAATTAGCCTTTCCTTCTGTGAAAGCAGAACAGAGCCCACCCTGAAAGCAGATTGAAACAGAAATTATGTATTTTCTTACTCTTTTTTTTTTTCTCTGTGGACGCTGTTCAAAGTGTTCTGAGCTGTGGAGCATCAGTGTCTGGCCCATTGCCACCTGTATGTGGGGAGCTCTAATAAAAAATAATGGCTGTTGACCGTATCTTTCACGTTCACAGTCAGTCAGCAGCCTCAGGTTATCGCCTCTGTGACTCCACTTAGCATAATTGCCTCTTAAAGTTTAAAGGCAGCCAGATGACCAGAGGCTCAGTGGGGATGTTGGACTTGTTTTGTTGCAGAACTCCCTGGTGTTTGCCTCATTAATGTGTCCCTTCTGCAAGATGGGTCGGGCTAGCCTTGAATCCAGCAGCCAGGCTAAGTGATGTGTAATAGGGAAGAATGTTTCAGTAATCCACATTTTTCAAAAGCTTCTGTTTTTCCAGAGGTGAATACAGTTGAGTGGTTATGTTAGGTGAATGGAACTGACTGTGAGGAGATATTTTTTTATTCTATCACCTGGGTTGTATGCTATGATATCTATGGAAATGTTTATTCCCCCTTCAATTCAATTTAAAAGTGCTTTACATCATAACAAAGACAAAAAACACAAAGACATCAAGCGGGGGTTCTTGCCTTTGTATCCACAAAAGGTTTACTAGTTACACTCCTACTGTGTTATATGGAACAAAATAGCTACTGGTATTTTTATTCCCAGTCACCCAGTTAAAACGATGTTAACAGCCTTTCAACGGGCTTCCAGCACGAGGCTCCATACACCTCTTTCATGGCATTTCCAGCAGGGACTTCGTCGTCCCTCACAGATTTTTGTACAATTTTATGGTACCTGTTAGTGTCTAGAACAGGGGTGCTCATAAGGTCGAGGCAGAACTGATCAATCGCAGCCTGATGTAAAAAAAAAAAAAAAAATGTCAGCCTATCAAACATCACATTACTTGATTGACATACAGGGCAACCATTCAGATGACAGCTGAATTTTGGGAGGGAGAATATATATGTAGCATCCCGATCCACACTCCTTTCCAGTAGATGGGGATTAATGCACATCAATAAGTTGTTTGCCAACCGCCATAAAAAAATGAAGACGTTGCTAGCGCAGCAAAATAAATTACGATTTTAAGCCCTTGCTAAAACATATGCTGATCAAAATGAGTGAGAAAGTTGGACCAAGTAAGAAGGCAAAAACATATCACTTTCATACGGAATGGGAGGTGGACCTTTTTTTCACAATGTCTTTTTCGAAGTGTGTTTGCCTCATCTGCCCGGCTGTCATCGCAATACCAAAGAAGGGAAATGTGGAGCGGCATTTTCGGACGGTTTATGGAAAATACGGCAATGACTTTCCGCCAAAAAGCCAGCTGAGAAAGAAAAAGGTGGAGGAACTAAATTCACAGTTGTTCACTCAACAAACTTCAAAAGCGAAAGCCGCCACCGAAGCATTGTTCCGGGTGAGTCACCCCATTGTTAAAAACAATAAGTCCTTCCAAGTCGGAGAGATGGTAAAAGAAGCATTCGTTGAAGCAGCTGTGTGACGGCCCTGTTGTCACAGTCCTGTGCGTGTCATGTGATTTACTAACTATCAATTAAGGTCCTCAATGTGGGAGGCGCTTCCATCACCTGGATGGTATATAAGGAGCACCGTTCCATTCATGGGGGTGACTGCAGAAGCCACCACGCGCAGACGACCCGAAGATCCAGGCTGAAACCAGGCTGAAGGGGCCAGGAGTGATGTCTCCTAGACAATTCAATTCTTTTAATAATAAACGCCTTTCATGGGCTTAATATCACTGGTTGCCGTGTCCCCCTAATTTTGTTGGGGCTTAACAAATGGGGGCTCGTCAAACACAAGACTTTTGCAATTTGGAAAATTGTTGGTTTGAGTGTGTGACGTTTTCATTCACCTTTTTCCTGTTTGTAGGAGTGAGCAGTGACAACACCGTTGGGGGTGGGACAAGGCTTTGTTAACCAGTTTGTTTGTTGTAGGCAGCTGTGGTGCGTTTTGTTGGTTGGTCTAAAAGACAGGTGAGTGAAATATTGTGGGGTTTGTGCGTCAGAGTGGTTCTCTTTTTGTGATTGTGTCTCCTGACAGGCTAAGAGGTGCTGTTGCTTTAGACTTCACCTGTTTGTTGTTTTAGTAGTGTTGTGGGGGTTTGCGGTTGGCGTTCACTGTGCAAGCAGTGATCTCGGGGGCAATCCGTGAGATTAATTTCTCACTGGTTTGGTGCTTAATAAACCCGCCACCGATCCACGTGAAGAGCCAGGAATCAGTTAAACAGGTGAGTTCTGACAGGCAGGTAAAGTATAGTGGGGACATGATTGCTTTGGAACCATTACGCATTCTTTCACTTTAAGCTGTATTTGTCGTTTAGTTTGTGTTTTTCTCCTGTAGTGTATGATTGCGGTTTTTCTTAAAAATATGGAGTTTGATCTGGACGACTTTGTAGCTAAACCTTCTTTGGAGAAGTTTCATGCTGCTCGTAAAAGTGATCTCGTAGCCATTGCTGCTCAGTTTGAAATACCTGTGATTAAACAAGAGAAAAAGAAGGTTATTTTTTGCTCATTGATTGAGCAAAACGTTTTGCCACCTCCCGAATCAACCACCCAGGGTGACGTTGGGGCGTCTCCGAGTGAGGTGCGCAAAATGGAATTGGAGTTAGAGATGCGTCGTTTGGAGCTCCGAGAGAAAGAGCTGCAGCATCAGGTGGAGATGCGCAAATTAGAATTGGAGGCAGCTGCGAGGCGCGACTCGGCGCGCGTTTCAGTTGATCAAGATGGCAGTTCTGCAGGGGCAGAGTTTGATATCAACAAATGTATTTGCTTGGTTCCACCTTTTACCGAATTGGATGTGGATAAATATTTCATCCTGTTTGAACGTGTGGCAAAAACACTGAGGTGTCCTCAGGATGTTTGGCCGCTGCTTCTGCAGTGTGTGTTCACTGGTAAAGCACAGGAAGCCTATGCCTCGCTGTCACCTAGTGACAGTTTAAATTATGATAAAGTGAAGAGTGCAGTGGAAAAAGCTTATGAGCTCATGCCGGTGGCATATAGGCAGAAATTTCGCCGCTATAAAAAAGCCGATCATCAGAGTTATACTGAGTTAGGTCGCGTTAAAACTGCTTTATTTGATCGGTGGTGTGCTGCACAAGATGTTAAGAATTGTGATCAGCTCCGCGATCTGATGTTGTTGGAGGAATTTAAAAACTGCTTACCGGAAGACATTGCAACTTACATTAATGAACAGAAAGCTAAAAACATTTCTGTGACCGCGGGGTTGGCGGACGAGTACGTGCTGACTCATAAGGATTATTCGGGTTCTGTGGGTTTTAAACGCTATTTTGGCCGAGATGTGAGCCGCAGTGATCGGGTTGGTGGTGTCACTAAGCAAATGGAGACGAGGCAGTTTAAAAATCCGGTTGTTCGGGATGATAATCGGGTTTGTCACTACTGTCACAGACGCGGACATATTAAAGAAGATTGTCATCAGCCTAAGGGTGAAACAAAAAAAATTCAAACTGCTCCTAAAGGAGTTGGTTTGGCTGCGCCAGTGCGGAGTCCTTTAGAGGACACGAAGAACACTCCGTCTTCTGAAGTAGGTGTTTCATACCTACCTTTCATTCGTGAGGGGTATGTGTCACTGTCAAATGGCGAGGGAAAGGTTCGAGTTAAGATTCTGAGAGACACTGGGGCGTTTGACTCTTTTATTAGAGCTGACGTGTTGCCGTTCTCGGCTGAGTCTGAGACAGATGCCTGTGTTCCAATTCTGGGAATGGGATTAAACATGATGTTTCTGTGTTTCTTGATTGCGAACTGTTTGTTGGTGACATGCAATTGCCCGTGCGCCCTGCTTTGCCAATTGATGGCGTCTCTGTGATTTTGGGTAACGGTTTAGCAGGAACTCGTTTGTGGGCGGACGCTGCGCCATTAGACGGCCTGGTTACGTCAGAGCCAGTTGAGCAAGTCATTCCTCAGACTGAGGGGAACGGGGAATTTGCAGATGTGCTTACCGCATGCGCAGTTACTCGGGCCATGGCGCGCGGTCAGAGTGTGAGACGAGAAATGTGTGAAAATTAATTTGCCTTTGTCTAGTTTTCCCATGTCTCTGTCTCGCAGTGAGTTCGTGACGGAACAACAAGCTGATGTTTCACTGAAGACTCTTTTCGATCAGGTTCGCCCATTAAGTGAAATAACTGATTGTGCTTGTGGATATTTCCTGCAGGATTCATTGTTGGTGAGGAAATGGTTACCACATGCTGACGTTGTGGGTGAGCCAGTATTACAAATAGTGGTTCCCATCAAGCTACGCTCCGCAGTGTTGAAAGTTGCTCATGATGAATCTGGCCATTCTGGTGTACGTAAGACGTATGATCGAGTTTGCGACATTTTTTCTGGCCCCGTCTTAAAAAGGACGTTTCGTCTTATATTAAGATGTGTCATGTCTGTCAGCTCATTGCTAAGCCCAATCAGGTTTTGAAACCGTTCCCTTTAAGCCCAATTATCGCTGCATCTGAACCATTTGAACATTTGATCATAGATTGCGTGGGTCCGTTGCCTCGCTCAAAGGCTGGGTCTTCATATCTACTCACTGTGATGTGTCAAACTACACGTTATCCAGCAGTTCTTACTCAGTTCTTTTCGGTGTTTGGCATCCCTAAAGTAATACAGTCTGACCAAGGAACAAATCTTTCATCACATTTGTTCAGTCAGGTTTTGAAACAGCTGTGGGTGCAACACAGTAAAGCGACAGCATATCATCCAGAGAGTCAGGGGGCATTAGAGCGCTTCCACTAGTCTCTGAAGTCTTTCTTACGCGCTTACTGTACAGAACTGGCAGGCGACTGGGAGGAAGGTTTGCCTTGGCTGAAGGTTTGCCTTGGCTGCCTTGGCCGCCAGGGACGTAACACAAGAAAGCACTGGGTTTAGCCCAAATGAATTGGTTTTTGCACACAACGTGAAGCCGTGGCTGTGGTGGCGGACGGGCTGAAAGAGTCTGCTCCACCGAAAAACTTGGTGAATTACGTAAATGGTTTTAGAAGACGTTCATATCTGGCACGGGAACTTGTTAAAGAGAAACTGACTGTGGTGCAGGAAAAAATGAAAAGTTTGTTTGATCGTTGTGCTGAGGCGCGCTCATTTTTGTCTGGTAATCAAGTCTTGGCTTTGTGTCCGGTCACAACTTCTCCTTTTCAGGCGAAATTTACTGGCCCATATACAGTTCTGAAGCGGGTTTCCGATCAGAACTATTTAATATCGATGCCGGAGCAGAGAAAGAAAACCCAGTTGTGTCATGTCAACACATTAAAACCATATTATGCTCGTGATGATTTATTTCAGCCACAGGGTACTGATGCCACGCCTGCATGTGCCGTAAACAGCCTTGCTGGGGGGAGCGAGACTTTCAGCACCACGGACAGCGCACTATTACCTGTCGAAGATGACGGCAGTACGGATGGGTTGGACAGCGCTCTGATTCATGGGCGTCTTAAAAACTCTGAAACTTTGGGTGAGCTGGACACGTTGTTGGCTCACTTACCTGCAGGTTGTGCTAAGCAGTTGGCAGAGTTGATAAGTGAATTTCCATGTCTATTTTCGGACACGCCAGGTCGCACACATTTGATTGAACACGATGTGGATGTGGGAGACGCTAAACCAATCAAGCAACGGTTTTACAGAGTGAATCTGGAGAAGCGTAAGCACTTGGATGCAGAAGTAGATTATATGCTTTGTACTGGGATTGCAGAACCGAGTAAGTCCAGTTGGGCATCGCCGTGTATTTTGGTCCCTAAGTCGAACAATACGCTGCGTTTCTGCTCAGATTTTCGTAAGCTTAACGCTGTTACTAAACCAGATTGTTTCCCGCTGCCGAGAATGGATGATTGCATCGATCAAGTGGATTCTACTAACTTTGTTAGTAAATTTGACCTTTTAAAGGGTTACTGGCAGGTACCACTGACTAAACGTGCACGTGAAGTGTCTGCATTTGTTACGCCTACAGGCTTGTATTCTTATACAGTCATGCCATTTGGTCTGAGAAATGCGCCAGCCACGTTCCAAAGACTAATGAACAGAGTGGTTGGTGACATGACTGGTTGTGCGGTCTATTTGGATGACGTGGTGGTGTATTCTGACACCTGGGGAAAGCATGTGGAGTCACCCCATCGTTAAAAACAATAAGTCCTTCCAAGTCGGAGAGATGGTAAAAGAAGCATTCGCTGAAGCAGCTGACTCATTGTTCCTAGACTTTAAAAATAAGGCAGAGATATTATCTTCAATCAAAGATCTGCAACTGTCAAGAAATACAGTTACCTGGCAATGTGAAGCCATGGCTGAGGATTTAACCCAGCAAATGTGGAAGGACATCGGAGATTGTGAGTGTTTCTCCCTGCAGTTTGACGAATCTACAGATATGAATGACACAGCCCAGATGTGCATTTTCATTTGTATGGTGTTTAGTGATCTTAGTGAAAAAGAGGAGCTATTGACAGCACTTCCCATGAAAGAACAAACGTGAGGAGAGGACATTTTTCAGACATTTAAAAACCTTAGCGAGAAAACTCAGCTCCCAGTGTACAAATTGGTGTCCATTACCGCAGATGGAGCACCTGCAATGGTTGGACGTGTGAATGGATTTATTGCAAAGTGCAGGCAGGATGATGTATTCCCAGTCTTCTTGAATTACCGTTGTATAAACCACCAACAAGCGTTATGCGCTAAAATGCTCAACATGAAAGAGATTATGGATGTGGCAAAAAAGATCACCTGTTCTGTCTGAGCCAGATCTCTTCAAAGATGGTTATTCCGTGCACATCTGGAGACGGCTGACTGCAACCACTCTGATTTGTTACTACATACTGATGTGAGATGGCTTAGTCGTGGGAAATTCCTCCAAAGATTTCGAGAACTCTGTCCGGAGAAGTTTTTCCGTGTATCTGGACATGGAGAATACAAGCAACTAAATGATGGTGAATGGCTAGTGGACTTGGCATTTTTAACTGATCTGACAAACTTGTTGAATGAGCTTAACTTTGAGCTGCAAGAAAAAGACAAAACAGTGACCAGTATGAATAGCTCAGTTAATGCTTTCAAACAAAAGATGCAACATTTTGCCTCAAAGCTGCAGTGCCATGATTTGGCAAATTTTCAGAACTTGGCGTCAAAGCTGGAGATGCAAGGGAAGGCCCACGAACAGCTTGAAAGTGCACGCTACTTGGAGCAGATGAGGAATTGTCTGTCAGAGTTTGACAAACGCTTTCAAGACTTTTCTTTGCTTGAGCCAATTGCTACATTCATGTGCTATCCTTTCCAGGAAGATGCTGAGTTCTGGAACTTACTCACAGAGGAAAAATACCCCAACATGAGGAAATGTGCGACTCCCTTGACTGCATTATTTGGCTCCACTTATTTATGCGAATCAGCCTTTTCCTACATGAAGATCATTAAATCCAGATATCGTTCCTCCATGACTGATGCACATTTGGAAATGTGCTTGAGGCTGACTGTCAGCAGCTACTGTCCGGACTATGCATCCCTGGCTGTTTCAAATCAGTGCAGGTCATCAAAGTAAACTTGGGTAATTATAAAAAATTTAAATAATTTTTTATTGGCTTATTCAGTAATGCAAGGTACATAAACGTACATTGTACATACAAAGAATACATAATAAATTTGAAAATAGTTATGTTTAGCATTTTTGTCGTCGTGGGTTGGTAGATCTTTTTGACTTGGTTGTTTTATAAGTAGCTCACATGGTGAAAAATTGTGAGCACACATGAATTTACAGGGTTTCTGTTTCGCGCAATGACCCTCAGCCATTTGCCATTTTTCTTCCGGCATGAGGCTCCGTACACCTCTTTGCACAGAATTTCGCTTAGGGACTCCGCCGTCCCTCTCGGATTTTTGTGCAATTGCAACGTAGAATCAACAATCAAAACATTACATTAAGTCAAGTTCCATCATTAAATTAGTAGTTGATTACATTTCAAATACAATTCTAAACAGGTGGGTTTTTAGTCGAGATTCAACACTCAGCTGTTTTGGAGTTTTCTGAAAGTTTGCTCCAAATTTGTGGTGCATAGATGCTGAATGCTGCATAACAATGACCATTCTGAATCTGTCCTTTGCTGCCTGTGGTTTTATGGGAAACATCTATCTGATCCACAGAGATTCAAACTTAAGCATGGAAGGTTAAAGAAATTAATTCATTTCTGCCAATAATTCAATAAAAAACATTCTATTTATCTCAAAAGGAAATGAAATGTTGCTGTAACTAATATCATCTAATTATCATCTAATTATCTTCAGAGTTATTGTGGATGGTGTTACTGTGGGCAGTAAGTATACACTAGCTTTCTGTCTTGCAGTAAATCTGAAGGGCCCTCTGACTGAAGACTGATGCTGATTGGAGCATAAAATCTGGAGAATATCATAGGACTGGAGAGCATTGACCAAAAAGAGTGGATTAAGGATTCTCTAATAAGTATTAAAGATGCTTGCTCTGAAGGAGTTGAATGTCTTTGAGACTACATGAGCAGTCATTAAAAGTGGTATTTTGTGTTGACTATGTAGAAAAACTTGCTTTATGGTTTGATTAATTTTGTCTTTTCCTGTTTCTTGCACCTGGCCATCTCAGAAAACTGTTCTTTCAGTTCCTTCAGAGCAATGATAGATGAAGGCTTACACCTTTTATAGAGCAAATGGTTTTTCTGGAAGTTGTCATATTGTTTTGTTTCTGCAGGCATAACAATGACCATTCTGAACCTGTCCTTTGCTGCCTGTGGTTTTATGGGGATCTACCACCTGGGTGCGGTGGAGGCCTTTCTTCATCATGGAGATAAGCTGCTGAGCTCCATGAGGGCCTGTGCAGGAGCGTCAGGTGGAGCGCTGGTGGCTGCTGTCCTCATCACAGCTCCAGATAAGCTGGAGGTCGGATGGCTGCAGTTAGAGGATATAAATGGATGACTGATGTCAGACAATTTCAACATGATACGTCTGTTTCCTTTCTTCAGCACTGCAAAAAGTTCACCTACAAGTTTGCTGAAAGTGTGAGACAACAGAGGTTTGGAGCCATCACACCAGGATTCAACTTCATGCTCATTCTACGGTAAATGCTAAAGTTAAATGCCAAATGGCAGCTGCATTGTTGAAGTAACTGATTTGTAGTTTAGCTATGCATAATCTTATTTACCCTGTTACAAAAATCACACATGAATCAATCAATCAAAGTCTTAATAAAAATTAGAAATACATAATCCACTTTTTTTGCTTCTGACTCATATCTGAAGTTTAGTATGGACCGACACTGATCCAATAAAGAAATACTATTGACTTAAACGTTTCCTTTGTTAAATACATAAATGTACTGATAAGTCTGCACCAATACAGTATGCTGAAATACACCAATAGCTTCATAAGCTAACAAACATGTAGAAACAAAATACACTGCTTAAAAAAATAAAGGGAACACTCAAATAACACATCCTAGATCTGAATGAATGAAATAAATATGAAAATAATTTCCACCTGTTGTCTATTCCATTTGCACAACAGCAGGTGATATTGATTGTCAATCAGTGTTGCTTTCTAAGTGATTTCATTTCACAGAAGCTTGATTTATTGGAGTTATATCATGTTGTTTGAGTGTTCCCTTTATTTTTTTGAGCAGTATAGATTAAAATGTAATTTTTTAAAAAATAATGGAGCATAGAATTAAACTGAATATACCTGCCGTCTTGAATCAACCACATTTTCACAATATTGAATTTTTTTCAATATCGGCTCCAATACAGATATTAATACTGGATCTGTGCCTCTCTAATGACAATCTAAAACAAGTATGGCATGAAAGAGGATGCCTTGTTCAAATGGGAGACCTCAAGTCAAAACCCAGAAGGTGCAGATAAATGTGATAGCTTGTGACCAATGTGTGTGAATCATCTGCAGGGAAGCACTAGAGGAGATTCTGCCAAGTGAAGCTCACAATCTGGCCAGCAACCGACTTTATATCTCTATAACTCACTGTAGGAGTGGGAAGAACCACATCGTTTCCAGGTTTCCCTCCAGGGATGAGCTCATAATGGTCAGTGTCCACCAAACGCACACACACACACACACACACTCTTCCATAGTTCATTGTCTGTTTAGGTTACAGAAAAATCGTTTGCTGTCTTGTGTTTTAATATCTACAGACTCTGCTTGCCAGCAGCTTTGTGCCTCTCTATGCCGGGCTCAGACCGGTGGAGTTCAATGGACAGGTAGCTCCGTTTCTGCCTCTAATACTGTCTAAAATCTAGCACTGGTTTTTATTCTGAGACACTCACTGACTTTTATTAAATGGATTGATGGGGGGTTTACAGACAGCCTGCCCATCCTGCCTGTGGGGGAACCATCACTGTGTCTCCCTTTGCTGGACTGCAGGATGTGTGTCCTGTCCACAGGGGGCGCTTCAAACACTCAGCTCAGCCTTGTTAACATGAAAATTATGGTGAGTAAATGACATTAAAATATTTATATTTGGCTTAAGAGTTTGGAAATGTCATTATTTCTTTGCAGTGATGAAAAAATGCTAATAAAACACTGATGTGGGATGCCTTTCTGTTTCAACTAATGTTGTGCAACAGAAGGTGTTAGGCTGCTGGTGCACAACTGAGATGAAAGAAGTTGTTTCCACTTATAATACAAATTTAAAAAAAAAATCTTGCCTAGATAAAATTTGCATACCTGTGGATCAGAACACTCCTGATTCAAATTGAATGCTTTCAATGTTAAGAATTGAAGAGTTTGCGTAAAACATATTGCTTGACAAAGGTTTATTTTTTTATCTTAATTGGGGCCTGCCCATAGCAATGCATAAGAAGAGCAGTGACTGACTTGCGAAACTTTATTCGACTAATATTAGGACCTTATTCACATCTTTTTCTTTAAAAAAAGTTTCTCAAAATGATTTTCCCGTTAATTGGGGCCTGCACATAGCAATGCATGGAGGAAGTGAATGACTGGAAATGTCATTATATATAGAAAAATTCCCTTCTCACCCCCGCGGGTGGTTCTTATCCTCTGAGCTTGGGTCCTCTACCAGAGGCCTGGGAGCTTGAGGGTCCTGTGCAGTATCTTGGCTGTGCCAAGGACTGCACATTTCTGGATTGAGATGTGTGATGTTGTTCCTGGGATCTGTTGTAGCCACTGCTCCAGTTTGGGGGTTACTGCCCCGAGGGCCTGATGACCACTGTGGTCTTCATCTTCCAGGCCCTCTCCAGTTCTTCCCTGAGGCCCTGGTATTTCTCCAGTTTCTCATGCTCCTTTTCCTGATGTTGCAATCACTTGATATTGCTACATCTACCACAACGGCTTTCCTCTGTTGTTTATCCACTACGACAATGTCTGGTTGGTTCGCCATTACCATTTTGTCTGTTTGGATCTGGAAGTCCCACAGGATCTTAGCTCTGGCGTTCTCCACCACCTTTGGGGGTGTTTCCCACTTTGATCTCAGGGTTTCCAGTCCATATTCTGCACAGATGTTTCTGTACACTATGCCTGCCACTTGGTTATGTCGTTCCATGTACGCTTTCCCTGCCAAACTATCACAACATTCATGTCTTAGATTTTTTTTTAAGGTTATCTTAACAGTTCTTCAGCACTTAGGTGTTGTTAGTTTGGCATTAACGTCCGGAGAGCCCAGGTGAGCAATCATATAGTGGGAGGGGTCAATCAGGTGGCTGCTGTGATGTGCTGGACTGTCTCACGGGCCTCCTTGCACAACCTACACCTTGGGTCTTGTCTGGTGTGGTAGATCTGGGCCTCTATTGCTCTGGTGTTTAGGGCCTGTTCCTGGGCGGCCAGTAAGAGGGCCTCTGTGCTATCCTTGAGTCCAGCTTTTTCCAGCCATTGATAGGATTTAACTGATATCAGCCACTTGGGTTATTTGCTGGTGGTACATCCCATGTAGGGGCCTGTCCTCCATGATGGTATCTCTGGCACCTCAACCTCCGTTCCCTGTTTGTCTGAGACATTCACTGTTGAGGCTTTGTCTGTTCAGGCTTTGTCCCTGATGTATTTATGGATCTTAGTTGTTTCGTCTGGACAGTGGTTCTCACACTCACTAGACCTCTGCCTCCTTCCTTGCGGCTCGTGTACAGTCTCAGGGTGCTGGATTTGGGATGGAACCCTCCATGCATGGTTAGTAGCTTTCTAGTCTTAATATCTGTGCTTTTATCTCCTCCTTGGCCAGCTAATTATTCAGCAGGATATACATATATACATATATATATATATAAAATTCCCTTCTCACCCACCGCGGGTGGTTCTTATCCTCTGAGCTCGGTCCTCTACCAGAGGCCTGGAGCTTGAGGGTTCTGCGCAGTATCTTGGCTGTGCCAAGGACTGCACATTTCCTGGACTGAGATGTCTGATGTTGTTCCTGGGATCTGTTGTAGCCACTGCTCCAGTTTGGGGTTACTGCCCCGAGGGCCCCGATGACCACAGGCACCACTGTGTGTCTTCACCTTCCAGGCCCTCTCCAGTTCCTCCCTGAGGCCCCTGGTATTTCTCTAGTTTCTCTTGGCTCCTTTTTCCTGATGTTGCAATCACTTGATATTGCTACATCTACCACAACGGCTTTCCTCTGATGTTTATCCACTACGACAATGTCTGGTTGGTTCGCCATTACCATTTTGTCTGTCTGGATCTGGAAGTCCCACAGGATCTTAGCTCTGGTGTTCTCTACCACCTTTGGGGGTGTTTCCCACTTTGATCTTGGGGTTTCCAGTCCATATTCTGCACAGATGTTTTCTGTACACTATGCCTGCCACTTGGTTATGTCGCTCCATGTACGCTTTCCCTGCCAGTATCTTGCACCCTGCTGTGATGTGCTGGACTGTCTCAGGGGCCTCCTTGCACAACCTACACCTTGGTCTTGTCTGGTGTGGTAGATCTGGGCCTCTATTGCTCTGGTGTTTAGGGCCTGTTCCTGGGCTGCCAGGATGAGGGCCTCTGTGCTGTCCTTGAGTCCAGCTTTTTTCCAGCCATTGGTAGGATTTACTGATATCAGCACTTGGGTTATTTGCTGGTGGTACATCCCATGTAGGGGTTTGTCCTCCCATGATGGTATCTCTGGCACCTCAACCTCCCCTGTTGTCTGAGACATTCACTGAGCACATTGTCTGTTGAGGCTTTTGTCCCTGATGTATTTATGGATCTTAGTTGTTTCGTCCTGGACAGTGGTTCTCACACTCACTAGTCCTCTGCCTCTTCCTTGCGGCTTGTGTACAGTCAGGGTGCTGGATTTGGGATGGAACCCTCCTGCATTGTTAGTAGCTTTCTGGTCTTAATATCTGTGGCTTTTATCTCCTCCTTTGGCCAGCTAATTATTCCAGCAGGTTTCCTCCCTTTTGCCGTAGCATTTGTGTTGTATCTCGTCAATCTCAAGTTGTGATAGCAGTTGCCGTTTGCGGATGTTGGAACACTGAGCTACTAGTTGTTTAGAGCTTAGTGTTGACTGGGGATGTCGAAGTAACCATTCCTTCCCCAGTCTTTGCATGTAACCTCTCTCACTAGGGTTACTTGAGTAGTAGCATTCCAACAGATCCACATTTTCATCTCTCGCCCATTTCCGTCTTGTTCCAGTAGCCCATTTGTCATCAAGGTGCTCTGGTTCCCCAACACCTGACGCAGACCTTGTTTGGGGGTGACGTCTGAGCCTGCATGTTACGCAACTTAGTATCTCTCATGGTATGAGGTAGGCAGTAGCTTGAAGGGTCTTGCCTAAGGACCCAGACTGGATTCGAACCCCGCCCTCTCGGGTGATATACTGATGCCTTATGTATTGAGTTATCCAGTCAGCATATATATATATATATATATATATAATATATATATATATATATATATATATATATATATATATATATATATATATGCTGAGTCAGTCAGCATATATATATATATATATATATATATATATATATATATATATATATATATAATATATATATATATATATAACCCTAACCCTTTTCAACAGGACAATGCTGCAGTTCACAATGCCCGCCTGACAAAGGAGTTCTTCCAAGAGAATAGCATCACTCTTTTGGACCATCCTGCATGTTCCCCGGATCTAAACCCAATTGAGAACATTTGGGGATGGATGGCAAGGGAAGTTTACAAAAATGGACATCAGTTCCAGACAGTGGATGCCCTTCGTGAAGCCATCTTCAACACTTGGAGCAACGTTCTCACTAGTCTCCTGGAAACACTGGCATCAAGCATGCCTAAACGATTGTTTGAAGTCATCAACAAGAATGGTGGAGCTACTCATTACTGAGTCCTTTTTTTTGACCCCCCAAAAGATTTCTCTTTTGGGGGTTTTCGGGGTTTTTTGAGATATGGTCTTAAACTTTTGATCAGGTGGAAAAAATCATGTTTTAGAATAAATGCAGTTTTCAATTAATTCCCCGCTCAAAAGTTTTTGTCTTTTACGCTGATTTCTTCTTTTAACATTGTGAAGCTCTACTTAGAACCTTCTTAAGATTCAATAGTTCTAAATGCAAATTCTTGCAATTTTTTGACTGGTCTTAAGATTTTGATCAGGAGTGTATATATATATATAATATATATATATATATATATATATATATATATATATAATATATATATATATATATATATATATATATATATATAAAATTTAACCCTAACCCTAAGTCTGTCAGGTTTGAAAGCACCCTAAACGCAATCTCTTGCTTGCTTTCCACAGTTTTCCATTGACAACATTAAACGTCTGAACCAGGCTTTGTTCCCTCCGTCCCTCAGCACCATGTATGCCATATGTGAGGAAGGTCACACTGATGCTATGCGGTTCCTGAAGCGAGAAGACCTTATGATCTGACTGCTATAACCCTCAGGAAGCAAAGCACAATTTCCAGGAGACTCCCGACTTTTCAGGGTTTTATAATAGTGTAAATGAGGGAAGACGCTCATCTTCTGCTGACTGGAGCAGAACATCATGAAGACACCTCATTTGGACATGGACTACTCATCAATTTTCCAAGAAGCCGTTTAATTTTCATAACTGAAGTACTGTGAGATCATGGAGTCTGGAAGCTTTGAAAAGTGTTTGATGTTTCTGCAGGGTTACTGTTTGGTTTTCCTCCAGCAGGTGGAAAACAGGTGGTCAGCTGAGAAAAGCTCCCATTGCTAATATATATTATTGGTATGAAATGATGGTCAGAATTACAATAATTTATGTAAAATTTATTTGAATGACTGTTCTATCCATCCTACTTAACTAAGGAACTCAGAAGGAACTTCTTCAAGAAATTCTTTCCCCTCTGTTTTTTGCAACTGTTTGCTCTTTTTCTTTATTTTAACCTTATATTTCTTGATATTTAACCTAATAAATTTTTATTTTTCAAACATCCTGTTTAAGTAAAACAGTGATCCCAATCACCTCAGTTGTCCAAGAATAAAAATGATTTATTTTTACAGTTAATCCATTCTTTCTGTGTTACAGAATGTTACACATTTTTAGGATTATTTCAAATGATTTAAATCACAGTTCAGTTAGTTTATGTGATTGGCAAAATTCTGTCGGCTTTATAAAATAGAAAACTGAATATCAGTTGCAGGTCCAGGCTGTTCATCTGTACTCTGTTTCTGGCTTTGTGTTGACTTACATTAAATACCTATGTAGATGACAAAATAGACCAAGTAATTCTGCCACAGCCTTTCCAACACGTTTTATTAACAAGTCACCTCTACACATACATAGAGCCATTCTCACTAAAAAAGTTATTTTTTAGTGTTTGAGCTACTAAAAATTTAGTAGCTCAAACACTGAAGTCAAGTTCAGAGACTCCATTGCAATCCATTTCTTGGATTTTTCAGAATGATGGAACATAGTTTAAGTGCTAAAAAATTACATGTCAAAATATTCAAAATTTAAACAGGGTTTCCCCCAGCTAAAAGCTCTCTGTGCCCTCCACTGCCTCCCACCCGCCAGGGTAAGCGTTGTGTTTTTGTTTTTATTCAAAGGAAAATATATATATTTTAATTTATTTATTTTTAATAAGTCGGACCGCAAGCATCTCTTTTGTGATGAACATTTTACTGGCAGGGCAGAATTCTTCCTGAAAGAAAGATGGATTTATAGTTTTTATAGTTTATAATAGTTAATACATTGAAGAGGAAGCGCACACAAATCAGGTCGCTGGCGCCTCTGCATACTGTTTACCTCAGCACGGATCACTCATATTGGCTCACCCATATGAACATTTATATCAAAATCCTGTGAGAGTGAAGATCCATATTTATTTGTGGAATTTGTCAAGGTAAGACTCAATCTTAAATCCACCGCATTTGCTCTGATCGCGCAGCTCGATGTGAACTTCAAAAATACCAGGCTTATTGCCAGCAATGCAGACCAGACTCCGACACCGGTCATAGAAGGATCGGACGGTGTTTTGAACAATTCCAGTGTTGATCTCAGTGAAATAAGTCAAAAATAAAACTAAGATGAAAAAAGCTTTCTCTCAGTGAAATAAGTCAAAAATGCACCACTGTAATTTTCTGCAAATTCATCAAAGTTCAGCTTTATAATCTTTGAAACAGCATAGAAGTACTAATAAGCAGTGTATTTTAGTGTTTTGAACAATTCCAGTGTTGATCTCAGTGAAAGAAGTCAAAAATAAGACTAAGACGAAAAAAGCTTTCTCTCAGTGAAATAAGTCAAAAATGCACCACTGTAATTTTCTGCAAATTCATCAAAGTGCAGCTTTATAATCTTTGAAACAGCATAACTGAGAAGCAGTATATTTTAGTGTTTTGAACAAATCCAGTGTTGATCTCATTGAAAGAAGTCAAAAATAAGACTAAGACGAAAAAAGCTTTCTCTCAGTGAAATAAGTCAAAAATGCACCACTGTGTAATTTTCTGCAAATTTGTGAAAGTTCATCGTTATAATCTTTGAAACAGCTTAGAAGTACTGAGAAGCAGTATATTTTAGTGTTTTGAACAATTCCAGTGTTGATCTCAGTGAAAGAAGACAAAAATGCACCAATGTGTAATTTTCTGCAAATTCATCAATGTTCAGCTTTATAATCTTTCAAACAGCATAGAAGTATTGAGAAGCAGTATATTTTAGTGTTTTGAACAATTCCAGTGTTGATCTCAGTGAAAGAAGTCAAAAATAAGACTAAGACGAAAAAACTTTCTCTCAGTGAAATAAGTCAAAAATGCACCAATGTGTAATTTTCTGCAAATTCATGAAAGTTCAGCTTTATAATCTTTGAAACAGCATAGAAGTACTGAGAAGCAGTATATTTTAGTGTTTTGAACAATTCAATGTTGATCTCAGTGAAAGAAGTCAAAAATAAGACTAAGACGAAAAAAGCTTTCTCTCAGTGAAATAAGTCAAAAATGCACCAATTTGTAATTTTCTGCAAAATCTTGAAAGTTCATCTTTATAATCTTTGAAACAGCATAGAAGTACTAATAAGCAGTGTATTTTAGTGTTTTGAACAATTACAGTGTTGATCTCAGTGAAAGAAGTCAAAAATAAGACTAAGACGAAAAAAGCTTTCTCTCAGTGAAATAAGTCAAAAATGCACCACTGTGTAATTTTCTGCAAATTCATAAAAGTTCAGCTTTTATAATCTTTGAAACAGCTTAGAAGTACTGAGAAGCAGTATATTTTAGTGTTTTGAACATTTCCAGTGTTGATCTCAGTGAAAGAAGTCAAAAATAAGACTAAGACAAAAAACTTTCTCTCAGTGAAATAAGTCAAAAATGCACCAATGTGTATTTTCTACAAATTCATGAAAGTTCAGCTTTATAATCTTTGAAACAGGATAGAAGTACTGAGAAGCAGTATATTTTAGTGTTTTGAACAATTCCAGTGTTGATCTCAGTGAAAGAAGTCAAAAATAAGACTAAGACGAAAAAAGCTTTCTCTCAGTGAAATGAGTCAAAAATGCACCAATGTGTAATTTTCTGCAAATTCATGAAAGTTCATCGTTATAATCTTTGAAACAGCATAGAAGTACTGAGAAGCAGTATATTTTAGTGTTTTGAACAATTTCAGTGTTGATCTCAGTGAAAGAAGTCAAAAATAAGACTAAGACGAAAAAAAGCTTTCTCTCAGTGAAATAAGTCAAAAATGCACCAATGTGTAATTTTCTGCAAATTCATGAAAGTTCAGCTTTATAATCTTTGAAACAGCATAGAAGTACTGAGAAGCAGTATATTTTAGTGTTTTGAACAATTCCAGTGTTGATCTCAGTGAAAGAAGTCAAAAATAAACTAAGACGAAAAAAGCTTTCTCTCAGTGAAATAAGTCAAAAATGCACCACTGTGTAATTTTCTGCAAATTCATCAAAGTTCAGCTTTATAATATTTGAAACAGCATAGAAGTACTGACAAGCAGTATATTTTAGTGTTTTGAACAATTACAGTGTTGATCTCAGTGAAAGAAGTCAAAAATAAGACTAAGACGAAAAAAGCTTTCTCTCAGTGAAATAAGTCAAAAATGCACCACTGTGTAATCTTCTGCAAATTCATGAAAGTTCAGCTTTATAATCTTTAAACAGCATAGAAGTACTGAGAAGCAGTATATTTTATTGTTTTGAACAATTCCAGTGTTGATCTCAGTGAAAGAAGTCAAAAATAAACTAAGACGAAAAAAGTTTTCTCTCAGTGAAATATTCAAAAATGCACCAATGTGTAATTTTCTGCAAGTTCATCAAAGTTCAGCTTTATAATCTTTGAAACAGCATAGAAGTACTGAGAAGCAGTATATTTTAGTGTTTTGAACAATTCCAGTGTTGATCTCAGTGAAAGAAGTCAAAAATAAACTAAGACGAAAAAAGTTTTCTCTCAGTGAAATATTCAAAAATGCACCAATGTGTAATTTTCTGCAAATTCATGAAAGTTCAGCTTTATAATCTTTGAAACAGCATAGAAGTACTGAGAAGCAGTATATTTTAGTGTTTTGAACAATTCCAGTGTTGATCTCAGTGAAAGAAGTCAAAAATAAGACTAAGACGAAAAAAGCTTTCTCTCAGTGAAATAAGTCAAAAATGCACCACTGTGTAATTTTCTGCAAATTCATGAAAGTTCAGCTTTATAATCTTTGAAACAGCATAGAAGTACTAATAAGCAGTATATTTTAGTGTTTTGAACAATTTCAGTGTTGATCTTAGTGAAAGAAGTCAAAATAAGACTAAGACGAAAAAAGCTTTCTCTCAGTGAAATAAGTAAAAAATGCACCAATTTGTAATTTTCTGCAAATTCATGAAAGTTCAGCTTTATAATCTTTGAAACAGCATAGAAGTACTGAGAAGCAGTATATTTTAGTGTTTTGAACAATTCCAGTGTTGATCTTAGTGAAAGAAGTCAAAAATAAGACTAAGACGAAAAAACTTCTCTCAGTGAAATAAGTCAAAAATGCACAATGTGTAATTTTCTGCAAATTCATGAAAGTTCATCTTTATAATCTTTGAAACAGCATAGAAGTACTGAGAAGCAGTATATTTAGTGTTTTGAACAATTCCAGTTTTGATCTCAGTGAAAGAAGTCAAAAATAAGACTAAGACGAAAAAAGCTTTCTCTCAGTGAAATAAGTCAAAAATGCACCACTGTGTAATTTTCTGCAAATTCATGAAAGTTCAGCTTTATAATCTTTGAAACAGCATAGAAGTACTGAGAAGCAGTATATTTTAGTGTTTTGAACAATTCAGTGTTGATCTCAGTGAAAGAAGTCAAAAATAAGACTAAGACGAAAAAACTTTCAGTGAAATAAGTCAAAAATGCACCAATGTGTAATTTTCTGCAAATTCATGAAAGTTCAGCTTTATAATCTTTGAAACAGCATAGAAGTACTGAGAAGCAGTATATTTTAGTGTTTTGAACAATTCCAGTGTTGATCTCAGTGAAAGAAGTCAAAAATAATACTAAGACGAAAAACTTTCTCTCAGTGAAATAAGTCAAAAATGCACCACTGTGTAATTTTCTGCAAATTCATGAAAGTGCAGCTTTATAATCTTTGAAACAGCATAGAAGTACTGAGAAGCAGTATATTTTAGTGTTTTTAACAATTCCAGTGTTGATCTCAGTGAAAGAAGTCAAAAATAAGACTAAGACGAAAAAAGCTTTCTCTCAGTGAAATAAGTCAAAAATGCACCAATGTGTAATTTTCTGCAAATCATGAAAGTTCAGTTTAATCTTTGAAACAGCATAGAAGTACTGAGAAGCAGTATATTTTAGTGTTTTGAACAATTCCAGTGTTGATCTCAGTGAAAGAAGTCAAAAATAAGACTAAGACGAAAAAAGCTTTCTCTCAGTGAAATAAGTCAAAAATGCACCAATGTATAATTTTCTGCAAATTCATCAAAGTGCAGCTTTATAATCT